TGAAATGCCTTAAGTACATGCTACTTCGCCAAGATTATGCAGTAAGTACTGTTTACTCGCACAATCTCGAAAGGACTGCAGAACGATTGTTGACCTAATGACAGACCACATCCTCCTGGCATCAAATGCAAGACTTATGACATTAAGCAACAACGATATATGCAGAAAAAGCAGGGAAGTAAGAATGAGAAGTAAGCATGAAAGAAACGCTGGAACACCTCCTATGATAGAACATATTCTATGGACGAATTTAGACTTCGTCTTAGATATATTGGAGCTTTGCGGTATAAAGGAATAGATGGACTACCAAAATTCGATATGAAGTCGCTCTTAAAGTTAGCAAAAACGTTGACTTCCAGTATGAGGAATACTTCAGTCTTGAACTGCACCTCCATCTGGGATTATCAATAACTAGTAGGTCTATGTATGATAGGATCGCAGGCATATATAACTTGACCACATTTGTTCGCGTTTTCAGTATTGTCTGTTGATTGGCTGCCATCAATGGGCCAAAGTACTTTGCCTTACCTTGCTGAAACCGAATTAAGAGATGATGTTTGAGATCTCAAAGGTTTACTTCAAATAAAACAAAGAAAAATATATACTAAAATTTAATGTAACCCCGATGTTCAAAGACTATATCAGACTTATGACCTCAGTTTTACTTTGACAGCTGAGTTCACAGCCTTCTCATAGAAAAGCCGAAACAGCTTGCTGTTGTTATTTTGAATGAATGCGAAAAAAAAATTTCATCAAGCTTAATAAACGCTTATAAATTGTCAACACCAGAAGCCACAAAGGCAATGTGCTACATAATTTTAATGAAAATTCGGTAGTTCGGTAGATATAGTCTGCACCATTGTCATAAACTACTGTGAAGCTTTCAAACAATTGTTCATATTGATGAAAGAATCTTAGTATTTTCTTCATTGACTAAGGCTACCTTGGCCTTACTAGCCACTAAATTTTCCAAAATTAAAATTTCCACAAATCGCATAACCACTTTATTTAATTAAATATTACATTATTGTAAAGCAATAAAACCAAAGTCGCATTAAATTACGATCTATTTGGTCTGGCATGGCGTATGAGTAATATTTCAGCTGCTATCAAATGAATTTCTTATTTTATGCCTCGCTTGTCAACAAAACCAGCAATAAATTTGCAAATTTCAATTGCAGTGCCCACACACTTAGACGTACATATGTAATCATTAACTTTCATATACACTTGCTATATAATATATGTACATTTTATATATATATTTACATATATAATAATACAGTGTTGATATTACTTCCTGTTTACTGTCAATTCAAATTGATTGCTTCTTAAGTTGTTTGTGGTTATTAACAACTGAACATTTGATAATAACAATAGCCGCAAGGCTTCTCGGTTGCCACGGCTGCTGCTGTTGTCTCTGCGTCTCTCGACTGCCAAGTGCTGCATTGATACTCGTAATTGCATTGCGGTCATTCTGCATTCAATTCTCATTATTTCGGAGAAATATTCTAAAAGAGGTTTATGGTGAATTATTGATACATACATAGTATGTCAACATTCGAGGAATTATAGAAAATAACTACACGCGCAGAATTGTTATGTAGTTTGTATAAGCCTTTCCTGCAATTATATGACTTGTGGGCGCAAATACCCTGCATTAATGGAAATTATATGAAATGGAAATTATGGTCAACAACACAAATATCAAGCAACTGGGCATTTAAATTTATTTTTAGTTAATATACACTACATTTCAAAAACTTAAACTCACAACACTTTATATAAAAAGAAAGAAACTTAAGCAATAAAAGTTTCAAATTTAAAAATTCAAGAAAGCTTACGATCTTACAGCTGAAAATATTGTTGAATAGTAAAATTACAATATAAATGTCAAACTAACAAGAGCTAGTTAAGGTTAGCTTAGCTTACACTGGTTGACTGTCAAGCCATACATAGACTTACTCGTTCGTTGTAATGCCAGATAGAGGTGTATTAATATGAGCTGAAATTTAGTAATGAAGTTTAGTAGAGACTTTATATTTAATTGTGATACTTGGTCTAGTCCAAGTACGAAGCGCTCGAAAATACCTAAACCGAGTTCTAGATAAGGCCGCATCAATGTATACAGAAAAGATGCTCCAGTGTATTTCTTATGTTGACTTCTCTGCAGTTTCCAAAAGTGTCAACTTTAAGCCTGCCCACACAGCACAGCACATGCGTAAAATGATTTCCGGGACTGTGTAAATAGAAAAATGTGTATTTCCCTTCCACTGCCTTGCGGATGATCTGAACTTGGCCATTCTGCATTCCACTAACGCCTTGATACGTCGATCAGCCAAGCCGATGGCAATTTTGGCAATCTTATCAGCTATTTCGTTTCCTAGAACGCCCTTGTGGCCTAGAAAACAGTATATATGCAGCCGCTTTCCAAGCAGCCACTCTATATACGGTCTTCCTGCTTCCCAAGACTTTCTCTGACTCAATATGGTGTTATATAATAGCTTTAATTGCCGCTTGACTTTCGACGTATATGTTCATATTATTTATGTCAAAGATTTGTGGCTGGAATATAAGCCATCATTCCGGTGGCTTAAAGGGTTGCCTAAGAGCTAGCTATGTGCAATAGATGTATACGCTCACTCCATCAGTAATTTTTTAATTACTGTGAACATGTGCGCCATCGATCCCCTGCATATCGAGCTATGTGCGGGGGTTTCTGTGGAAAATTCACAATCAATCTGACAGCTGATTTTTTGCCGAACTTTTCTTTGCAATGTTAATTGATAGCAGATTGAGGAACCTTCCAAGTGCAGCCGTTGATGCCCTTATTATGCTGAGAGCAGCAAGTCCTTGTATTCGTTCTTACGGTTTTTTGTATGGTATTTTACCGGCAGCGGTCCAGCATACCAAAACACCGTAAAGTAAGATGGAGTGACTCCCGATATATAGTATAACATCATTGCTTAAGGAAGTCCAATTCTCAACATCCTCTTACATGCGTGGATAGCACCGCTGATGATATGATATGAAGGGCGACAGTATACCCTAGTGAGTAATTCCAGTATGCGCTAGTCTGAGAAATCTGGCTTCATTCCATTCTGCATTAGTCATCCTGCAGCTTATCAGAGCTTGGTTTTCATGCTATGATAGTGGACTCTATCCAGGCTGTTTTCCTATTAACCATAACACCATTGGAGATATTTTTCAATGATTCGCATATGTAAAGAGAGAGCTCTCTTTATATTTAATGAAGTGCAGTTTCAATACATATACCCTTCCTGTAGGCGTGCTGAGCTTTCGATAGTTTAGCCGATGGAATCTTGTCCGTAATGTAAACATCTAGAATCTTTTCTTTCCTTTCAAATCATTTGGTATGTATATGACCCTCGCCTCTCTCCAATGGATAGGAACATAGCTAAGCCTTAAATATCCTTTTTATATTGACATCCGGTTTGGAAATGCCGTACAAACCCGGGGGCATCAACGGTTTGAAGCTGTTTAAAGCCGAAAGTATTTTGTATTTCGTTCTATCCGAGGGGACGTACTCTACACTATTAACGCCAAGTTAGCAGTTATTAGTGCATCCTGGAAAATGCGTGTTGACTAGATCCTCGACTGATTCCTCACTACAACCAGTCCACAAAATGTATGACTGAAATCTTTAGTCATGGCAATGAAGAAAAATGTGGTGTAACCAAGGATCGAACATTTTAGCATACAGTTACATGTCATTTCGCTACTCAGTGAGTTTCATAAATCACCAACGAGGTTCTAGTCTATCATATGTTTCACCAAGGTCAAGGCGACTGTACATTCGGCTACACAAAATACCTGATGTTACTCTTCCCTCGTTGAGAGGCTCTATACTTCATCTAGTAGACAGGTTAAGTACATGGCGCCTACCCTCTAAGATGACCTACGTACTGCGGTAGGAATAAATATTTTGTAAGACGCTCTTTGTCAAAGCTGTGTAGAGGAAGACGGGAAAGAATTAGCTTGCCCTTTTCACTTTATTTGGTAGACACACGTTTGGAGAACCTAACTAAGGACTTCATAGCCTTAATCAATTTGTGGTAAGCTCAAAATACTTCGTCGATCTCTGAGTTGATGTGCTTTGCGGTTCAGACTATTTTAAGAACTAAGGGCGTGTACAAAATTCCGAACCGGGGGACTGACAGGCATGCGGATAGACAAGTGAACATAGCTAGAGGATTCTTTTGATCACGCTGCTATATATTTTAGAGGATCTCCGACGTTTTCTTGTAAAAGTTTTAAACTTCCTGGTAAATTGAAAATACTCTGTTCGGAGTATCAAAATTCTGAAAAATCGCAACACTGCGAATGAAGTGAGCTTTAACTAAGCCTCTGATTAACCATATTATTTAGATAAGCTATAAAAATATAGATTAAGTAAAGGTTTTAGTGATACATTAAATATTGGTTACTAAGTTAACTTTGTTGCCTGAAAATAATGAAAATAAAATATGTTGCATGTTGTTCGTTGCTTCGCATGACCACTATATTCACAGTACACAATCTCTCTTTAAAATTTTATTTTCCAGCTTGTTCCGTTTGTATTACAATTTTACTCTCTTTTACCTCTACGTTTTTCCACTCAGCATGCCTTTTAAAGAAATTACTTTGAGTTTTCAATTTAAACGTTCAATTTTGGGCGATTTTATAGCTTAACGGTTAAAATTTAGTAACAGTAAAACTAGCCACACACACACACGTACACTTACACGAGTGTCTACATAAGTGGAATATGAGCAACGCAATTGTTCCACGACAGAGTACACTTGAGTTCACGAGTAGTTTTGCGTTAAAGTTTTGCGAGCCAACCAACTGGTGTACACTTTCGCTGCACTCCTCTGAGTGCTGCGCATTCAACTACTTCTACCGTCCCCCGCCCCCCTAAGCAATATGTATGTACATTACTAATATTTCCATTTCTCGTTCAATATTTTGCAACACGCTCAACCCCACCGCTTGAGCAGGCGCTAGTCGTGTGGCCTTGCCGAGCAATCCGAGCAGTCGCAAGGGCTCCATACTTGACATCGCGCAGCAACAGCAGCAGCAGCAACAACAGCAACAGTTACAACAACTACAGGCGCAGCATCAACAACACTTGCAGCAGCAGCTGCCGTTGGGTATCGGTAATGCAACGACCAGTCCACCCTCGGATGATGAAGGCAAGCAGTTTACGTCACGCTGGAGGGGCTCCGGCAGCAATCTGCGTCCACAAAGCGCCAAGCAGGCGTTATCTATGCTGAAGCAGGCCTCCTCCGCAACGAATGTAGCTATGCAGGGGCAAAGTGGCAGCGGTAGTTTGTTGAGTGTAGGTGCCGACAGCCCCAAGCAGTTGCGCAAAGGCAGCATGATTAATTTAAAGACGGGCGAAACTACGCACGGACCAACAGCTTTGTTGCAGCGCAAAGGTAGCGTATATGCACATACCGCGACGGAGCGCGACACCAGTAGTGTCGGCAGTAGCGGTTCGCCGCAGCGGAAGGGCAGTGCTTATGTCGGCGTTAGAGCAGCTGGCCACGAGGCTGAGTCGGCGCTGTTGCGCAAAGGTAGCATGTATAGTGTCAGCAGCAACGAAAGCCCGTCCATGTTGCGCAAACAGAGCATCGCACCGCACCATGTCAGCGCCAAGAACTTGAGTCACGGCAGTCATGCGGACAGCATGAGTAGTTTAACGTCCACGACTGTGACCACAGTCGCCACAGCGGGTATTGATACGGACTATGGCCTGAAAATGGGTCCAGGGCAAATACATCCAAAAGGTTACCGCCTGACAACCGTGCGACATGGCGAGCTGAAAATGGCATTTGCCAAAATCAAAGGCACCGTGGAGGTGGAGGTGAGTATGCATGCACGAATGTGCGACTTAAATGAATACCCTCTTAGCATTTTTCGTTAGGTTATGTGTTAGATTCTATGCAGCGTGTTAAGCTAATTATTATTGCAAAACCCCAAACTTTATAACGAATTTGGTCTCAAGAGTAAAAATCTAAGCCTTTGAAGTAAGTTATTGTTGCAGTAAATTCCTTTGCTATAGAATAAATTCCAGAACTTATATACATTTATAATATACATAGGAAATATATATATATATATATATTTTTTTTTTTTTTTGCACTCATAACACCACTATCAGTAGTCAAAAGCAGTTCTCAAGCTTAGAGTAAACAACTTTTATCCGCAGACCAACTGCATCTATCTATATCAGTCTGACTCTTCAACAGTAACTCTTAAATGTCCCACTTCTTAATTACATAGAATGCATCCTACAAGTATATCCGTAGCGCCTTTGAAGAGTACAGGCTAAAGTAGCAATTTTTCATATCGGCATGTAAACAGAGACTTGAAACAATTAAAAAGCACCTTTCAAATATCTTTCAAGAATTTCGGTATATTAGTCAGATCAGCGAAATGATAAAAGCTGCGGTATACCTTTCACTACGAGCAAAAACTAGTAAGACTTTGTTAAAAATTTTAAATTTATTAAATTATTCTTCAAAATAAGTACTGTCCCCTCAAAGTAATCTCCTCTGGTACAAATATACTTGTGCCAACCAATCCTCGAAACAGTTGTTAAAGTCAATTTGAGAAATAACCTTCAATGCGCGTGGCGATTCTCGTTTAATGTCTTCAATTGTCTTAAATGAGTTTCCCCAGAGCAATCGTTTGAGTTTGAGAAGTAAAACGGAGCTAAATCAAATCGAAAAACTCACCACAAATTAACCAGTATCGACGGTACATTATCCTGGTGCAAAACCAAGAGTTGTCGGCTCATAATTCTGACTTCTGAGCGTTCATTTTCAGCACCATCTTTGTAAGAAAGGGCTTTATATGATCAGATGATGAAAATCAGATGACAAATGCCTTCTACCCATATAACAACCTTTTAAATTCAATCGGATTATTTCGCTTCACAGTATACATATCAAACACCAATGAAAGTATCAAAAATTGTCGAAGTCGGACTAGGTATTTTCCAGAATTCAAGCTTTAGATATATGGACCCCAGTGCATACTGATCTTTTTCCGATGTCGGCCAAACTATGAGTTATAATATTAAAATTCGCGGAGGATATTTATATGACCATAGCTATTGTGCAAAAATGGCTAAAATAGGGTAAACACTTCCCTGAGTAAGAATGTTAAATATGAAATTATTTTCGAACTTCCTGTTGACCTTAGACTAGATCTATTGGCCATTATTTAAGAAATCTTCATGATATTCCCAACAAATCTCTTTCTAATACCAGCAAATCCTCTTGTAGTAAGTGAAAAACAATCAATAAAATATTACTCCTAGTCTTCACATACCAAATAGACGGGTTTTCAAGCACCCGCTTGACTTTATACCTTGTACAGGGTTTGTTCCGAAAGTAATAGGACTGCTTTTCTTCTGCCGTGACTGTACTTCGGAGGTGCGCGCACCGACAGGATTCGGTAGATGGCGTACCTAGCTAACGAACGAGCGGCTGTTCAGTTATCTCCGAGCATCTGGAGAGTCAGTACAGACATTTGCGCGCGACGTGCTTCTCTGAGTGGTGATAGCTGAACTGCAGCATTCGGTCAACCGGAGGTACGCGATTAATTTAGGCTTACCCAAATGTTGCTTTAGCAAGAAGTGGTGTGTTTCGGTATAACCAGACCTTTTGGAGAACCGGGAAGAAGTCGCTGATGAAGACCGTGCTGAAGGACCTGCGACTTCGACAAACACCTACAAGGTCACCCGTGTGCGCTAAGTTTACAACGCAGCCTGTCGACGACGTATTCGTTTGATTGTCCAGATGTTAAATTGATCAAAATCTTTGGTCCATGACAGTATGACGAAGCAGTTGAATATGCGCAAGATGTGCGTAAAGATGGGCCCAAAATAGCTCACTGACGATCAGAAATTGCGGCGAGTGGAAGTGTGTCAAGAAAATGCATGCAATGCAGAAAATGTCGCTGCATCGACGCAGAAGGTGCCTATTTTGAAAGTTTTTAATTGGAACGATTGGTTCAATAAATTTTTTTATGTCGACTCAGTCCGATTAATTTCCGGAGAAACCCTTACATTGAACATTTGTAAGGTTGCATAATAAAATTCAGAGAGCTGAGAGCATGAAAAGGGTGATGTATATTCGAGGTTCCCACTTTTTTTTAAAGAAAAAGCACAAAAACATCAAATTCAAAGGGTAATGTTTATTATCATGCGAAAGAACATTCTTTGAAATTTATTTTTTGAAAATTATCTCTTTCAAATGTTAGTCCAACTTTCGATGACTCGTTCGAGCATTTGAATCGAAACGGGATTTCCATCAAAGACTTTAGACTTTACATTTGCGTACATAAAAAAGTCTAAAGTTGAGATATCACACGATCTTAGTGGCTAATCGAGCGGCTCAAAACGTGAAATTATCTGCGAATCAGAAGTGAAAAATTGCGGAGATCACAGCGCTCAATTTCAGGCACCGAATAATCGGTTATCATGTGCAATAACGGTCCACGTTGACGATCACTTTCTCACAGGCATCATTTCTGTAGAAATATATACCGATGATTCCACTGGCCAGAAGACCACATGAACCCTTATTTTTTCTAGATGGGATGGCAGCTCTTGAATGTCTTCAGGTGGCTTGAAAACGTCAGATCTTCTTGAAACTTTTGAATAGCCGAGAGAGCGAAGCGATGTCGCCTGGAAAGGTTGAATGGCTTTAGTTCTTGCAGAAACTTGTGTACCCTTTAAATTTAAGGTTTCCTTAATTATTCCATTATAAAGCAGTTCATAGCAATAATTATAGTAATTTGGCGCCTACTAGGTTGAGAAAATTCGAAATATTATTCCAAACTATAGCGGTTCTGCGTCTGTAAATGACGTGAAATTTGCTGTTTACGAAATAGTATGTCGTAAGTTTATGCTATGTATAAGTTATATGTATAATCCACCAAAGTTAGTTCAACATAAGTTTTTTTAGACCCACTTGTGTTGGAAGTATACTTTAAACATTGAATAGGACTTGAAAATTAAGTGGCAGCTGAAAATCAAAACTTCACCTGCTTTTGACTTTGCCTCCCACATCGTTGTGTAGAGCCAGCGCGTGTGGGTCGTGGATAATTAACGAAAATTTGCGCGTCTTTACATGCTCAATTAACCATACATGCCACATGCAACACCAGCTAACTATGCGTCAAAACACTTGTGCACCTTTTCAGATAAAAGTATAATAGTATGTGCATAAACAACGTGGTCATTAGTAGCCATTTTACCGTTGCATTTTATCACCCTGCTGTTTTTACCTTCACCCATTCTGTAATCATTTGCCTTTTTCTACTTCCCCCCTCTTTCTAATTGCAGGTGACATGCGCACGTAACATTGTGCCCGAGGATTGTGAAACACCGCCGGATACTTATGTGAAATGCTACATCAAGGATGGCGATCGGCTGCGGCACAAGAAGAAGACGCGCGTGGTGAGGCACTCGGCCGAGCCCTACTACAAGCAGACGCTCAAGTATCAGGTAAGTGAATGCCAACCAAACCGAAGTGACTAACTTACAGCTGGCAAATGGCTATGAAGCTTGCAAACCGGTGCATCGCTGGCTGCGAACTTGTCGAAAACCAGGCTACGCTAAGCGTGTGAGAGCTCCATGCTCACATCAAGCGCACTTAATACTGTCTGCTAGCGTGAGGAGAGGGAGGCCACGAAATTACAGCCTTTTGTTGGTTAAATTTACGCTGTCACACACACATTCACACTCGGTCGAGTGAGTTCACGCACAAGCCAGCGCGACTGGATGTCCCGCCTTTTAATTTCCGCAATTTGCAGAAAAATTTACTGCTGATGACTTCCAAATGCCAAGCTGCGTGTGCGAGTTTAATTCCAATGTACTCATTTGGTTGCAATGCACATCCACTCACACATGCTGCTTTATGGTTTTACGGAGCACGATTACACTGCAAGTTAACCCTTATTGCTCAGTTGGTGTAACCCCTGTGAGGAAAAAATAAATATTTAAATGTTACCTTAGATGAGTTTTTTCACGACTGGATCGATACTCATTCAAGTCTAGAGGGAATCCTCAGCCGAACGTGACTATTGTGCCCGTAATCTTTCAGGTTCCACCTTCCTAATTCCTTAATTCTAATAGCAGAGCTTGGTGCTACGTCGCTGATGTAGGAGTACTATATACTGAGCGCATCAGTCGCATATGATATGATAGCTCCGGTAACCCACTGGCAACCATCAAAGAGCAGTAGATGTACTTCTCCCACGTACGATTTCTTTTGGCGAGGTATGTATCCCTTCCGCAGAGTTGCTATAAAGATCTTGAGCTCGGTGTTGCAGTAGCAGCAAGATACTTCCGTATTAAACTTGTTTCCGATGAGCTTGCAAGAAAGGCCACCCTTAAATTCCATATAAATGGCTCAGAAGCATTGGCCACCAGCCATTACTTGTGGAATTGCGAAAGCTTTCTGGGTCAGAGTGGAATGGGAAAGGCGTCCAGTAGGCAGTTAGCTCTTAGCAACCCTCACATCTTGGAAGGTGTACCAAGTGAAAAATGTCCTATTGACATCTACAAATGTTGACAAAATTGCAACGAGGAAGATGAGCTGGAAACAGCTGGGCACTTCTACTCCACTGTCCAACTTTCGCCAGACTAAAGTTGCAACCGGCTCTTTGGAACCAACTTTATTCCTTTTAGCGATATGATTCGGCTTTTCTTTTGAATTGGCTCTCAATATGTTTGAAGCTTGAAATTGAGAACCATCCGTTAAGCACATCCTCTCAAAGTTTTTTGTAACTTCCCTCAAAGCTTCGAAAACTCAGTAGACCGACTTATAATATTGTGGTCCCAATTTGATTTATCGTCTAAGATAACTTCGAAGTACATGACTCTGCTGTAGAAATCTAACAAGTTTGAATTAAGTTGAAGTACTTTGTAATATATCTTGAACTTGTTTGATTAAAAACTGGATATCGAAAGTTCAAGATAAATGCCGGAATATAAATTTGTCCTTTTATACCCTAAACAAGGTATATTAAGAACCGCTGATCCATAAAAAGCTTATATATATATATAAATGTCCACCATTATGAACTTAGTCTATTTAGGTATCAGGTCATGTCCTTCCCTCCCTGTAGGTGAAAACTCTAGCTTTGAAGGTATTCGCCGGTGGAAGCAGAGGAAGAGGTAGACCTCCATTCAGGTGGAGAATGACGTGGTTGCAATTGGTATCTCGCATTGGCACCATATAGCGAAAAGATGAAACGACTGGCACGCTATTATTAACTCGGCTATAACCGAGTAGGGGGAGTCTACACCAGAGGAAGAAGTCTCTCAGTGTTTGAGATGCTGTGCTTCCGAAGTTAACTTTTTATCTTCTTTAATGTCGCAGAAGTTTCTCCTTCTTTTTTATTGTCTCTGTAAGCTCTTCGGTACTTATTTGAATCGAATATAGGAATACTTCGTCTAGTTACTGAAAAAACTGGAGATTAGTGTATACATTGAGCTTAGGAAATAGTCAATTGCATAAAGGTATGTAAATTTTTGAACACCTCAGTAGGGTAAAAACAGTTAATGCGACCGCAATGATCCGAGCGAGGGTTAGCCCAGCAAAACATGCGTTTTAGTATATTTATAATTAATCATAAGTTTAGACAACGGAAATGTAATTTGTCCCTCAATTCCTTACAGGGTTGCCTCGTCCTGTACTTAACAGATACACACATACATGCTTATACAGCTATGGCTTAAACGAGCCTTGCCTTAAAATCGCGAAAGGCAAATAATGCAATAATGCAGTACTTTGCACATTCATGGCATTACTTAGGTAGGTAAATACCACTGTAGTGCATGCACGAGTGCGCCCACGCCTGAATGTAGACAACACATGTAAGCTGTGTTTCCGCCATACGATTCCGCAGAACACTGCATTATTACATCACCGTAATCAAATGACCATGAAGTCATTACCAACACACGCTTATCGACACACGAATACACGCTCAATTTGACCCTCTGTGCTGTGGAATGCAGTAAAGCGATTTAAGGCGAAACTAGTACAGAACTATAACTTTAGTAGACGGCACTGGTTTTTCATACAACAACAATGCGTTTTTCTCACTATATCTGTCTCTTTCTTATATATGGTAAGCGATATCATGACAATTCCTTAAACAGGTAGGTAGATAAGATGGGCTTAATTAGCGATGAATGCACTTCCAAACGGCCAGTGACTCGTGATAGTAACTGCAAGCCAATATGTGCTATTTATGCACTTAGATTTATGAGGGTAACCCAGACTTTAGTTTTCTTTTGAATCTGGGTTTACCGATTAAGTAGCGTTGACTTCTGAACTCATGTTTGCATTAGAGGCACCTATAAGATAGGTCGGGGTGTTCGTGTGGGCGTGAATCGAGAATTTCGTGCATGTCATTGTAGAATGGCCGTTGTACTCGGACATTAGGGATCTGGGTGGTATAGGGATTAGCTGGACTGATGGACGGTTGATGTTAGCGATGTGATCTCCACTAGTCGGAATGCCGAATAATTAGAGTCGTTTACACGTGAATTGTTTAAGCGACGAAAGCGTTTAACTGAGAATTAGGATTAGCTTTTTGTGTGAGTGGTGTGTGTATGCGGTCCAACCCCTGGTCAGCAGTCCGGAGCAGTATGGAAGCTCAACTGGCAGTACTTTCGGCTAAGCGGTCTGAACGGAGACTTACTTCTGGTAACACGAGGAGCAGGAGCCCTTGCAGTTCGTTATTTCCGTATTTTTCCAGTGTTCCCTAAGTTAAAATTGGTCTAATGACGGCGGCATTCACAAGGTAACATTTGGCTTAGTCTCATCAGTTCCTGCTAAGTAATCTTTTGCAATTATTAGAATTATCGATTTCAAAACCCCTGCATTTTGCCGCAGAGATCTCAGGAATTGTTCAGTCAGTTCCGTTTTACTAGGGTTCACATCTTCTCCGTTGTTAGCGACCGGTAGGTGCAACCTTCATAGGGCTCATTCCAATTGTTAAGGTATACCCCAGGACTGCTCTGTATATCCATTAACCTTTTTAGAATCTTCAGCATGAAGGCGATGATTAGAGTGTAGGTCAAAAATAATTTTTTATGTGTTCTTCTAACTGGTTTTGGTAGGACCACCGCATTTACTCTTTTCCAGCACCTCGGTAGTTCGATAGTTGGATGCTGACCTTATTATATTTTCTAGCCTTAGTTGTTGTTGCTTTAGCTTCTGCATCATTATGAGGATTAATCCCGTCCAGGTTCGCTGCTCTAAGTGGCATATAAATTCTTCTTCTTATTCGCAAGTAGTTCTGGTTGTACCTCCACTGCGGTTTGCTGACTACCAGGGAAGTGCGTTTGCACGAGTTCCTCTTGGGATTCTCCTACGGAGGAAGTCCATTGACCGTCCTCCCTTTAATTAAGATATATTGAGACATTGACAATTCCTTAACCGTCCAACATTGCAAAGAGCTTTCCTGACTGGCTATATGCAGAATATGTAGTTTATTGCAAATTTAGTAATGTAAGATTGACCACGGAGCTTCGGAAAGATATATACGTTTCGACTAATCTACTCTGCAACCTATTCGAAACAGTTATGAAATAGGTACGAAGTTCCAATTGCATTTACTGCCTTCCTTCAATGCAATGGGAATGTGAATCTGAAATTTACTCGCTAATTAAAGGACATAACAAAAGCTCTTCACGGTATACTGGTGTGAATTATTCACGACTAAAAATAGAGCAGAATTGCAGTACAAATGCATTGAAGTGGAATGAAAGGACTGAATTATGTCTGGCTACTATTATGAAATCGCAAGTCAATTATAATTCCATTGTCATTTTACAGGTATTTCAATAGCATTATTTAAAGTAAATCCTACAAAGCATATTTGTAGATCAATCAATACTTTTTAATTGAAAAATGCATTTTCCGTCTAAGTAGCATACACAGTTTTAATATATGAGCCTTAAACAAAACAAATTTTGGCAAAATATTTCGAGTACGAAAATGGTTTGAGAAATGGATTATTTTGGGCCGCTAACGTATTGTTTTAACTTACTAAAGTCGGTACGGAACGGGATAGATACCGAGAGCTGAAGGGGGAAGCGCGACAAAAAACGAGAGAAGCCGAAATGCCTCAGTATGAAAACCTTGACATGGTGTATACTGAAATTTCCGGCCGAGCTATTCAATTACGACGGCGAAGATCTGATAACGAGCATACATCAGCTTCTTTGTAGAATATGGTCGGAAGAAACCATGTTCGACGATTGGAATTTAAGTGGCCTCTACCGTGGAATAAGCCTGCTCAACATCGCATATAAGGTTGTATAGAGCATACTGTCTTAAGATTGAAGCCCACCGTCAGCAAACTGTTTGGAAGTTATCAGTGTAGCTTTAGATCTGAAAATCTACTACCGACCAGAGTTTCACTCAGCGCCAAATCTTGGAAAATACCCTTGAAAAGAAGATCTACACACACCACCTCTTTGTCGATTTCAAAGCTGCTTTTGACAGCACGAAAAGCTTTTGACTCCCCCTTAACTGTTGACAGTCAGCATAGCGATATGTTATTATTGGTAGCGAAGTTAGGGATTCCTTAACTAATCTAAGGACATGGTCAAGGATTTATGCGCAACGGAGTTTTTTTTTATTGGAATGTATACTCACTGTTCTGTATCTGATTGCAGTCCGGACTTTAAAAAAAAAGAACGACAAAGTGCTCAAACTTCAATAAAACTATTGCAGTTTATAAATGTGTTCAAAAAAACTTCTTCGATTCTGCAAAAGTTTTGAATTCTTATGTACATACGTAGAAGCAATTGTAGGAGGTACTACAAGTATAATAGATAGATGGAAAATATTTGAGGATTAGGTATCCCCCGCAAAACTAATACGGCTGCCCGGCACCCAGATCACTGCGACTTTTGGTCTATGTGCCCTCTCCTATATCACATATGGTCACAAAGGTCCAGACTCTGAATAATTCCAGGAGCTTTATGAGCGCGATTGAGGCGTCCACATAGTTGGATCCCAGAGCCTTGAGCCCGCTTCTATAGTGTTCTGGAACCAGCAGTTTGCCGGCAGAAATTGAGCCCATGTTGTTTCTTGGGCCGGCAGTGCCCAGTATAGAGCGCGACAAGGAGACGAAATTCGTCTCGGGTTAGATTTATCAACTATTAACTTGGCAGTGCCGTTCTCTCCACACTCACTCCCTCTATTTAGAGCAAATCCTCTATGGTGTTTGCAAAGCAAGATTTTGGCCCCATCGTCCTGGAAGCCGCCGCAGATCGGTCTACATTGCCAGGGTAGCTGGTAAAGATCTGGCTAAAACCTGGACCAAAAGCCTTATCTGCCATAAGCAGCATGGTATGTTTCACTAGATGCAGGGGTGTGAGCTCCACCATGACTCCAAGTGCTGCAGTTGGGCAAGCGCACATTAGCCCTGAAGCGCAGACGCAGACGGGTCTTTGCAGCTTCGATAGTTGAAGGTATATCAAAGACTTTGTTGCCTTCAATGTCCAAGCAATCGTTCCATAAGTGACAAGATCAGGAAAAAGCAATTAAAAGGACCAAGAATAATATTAAGAAGTTAAGAAGAACATGCGTCAAGATGATATTTCCATTATTTTATTGGTTTTTACTCACATATGAAATATTCAATTTTTTGGCACCATAACGTAATGAACTTTGAAAAGTAATAAATCGAGTACGAGCCTAAAAAATATCATTTACTTAACCGCACTCGATTACGATTCACAAGTAAGATTTCGGTAGAAATTTTGTATTTACAATGATAGCTACGGAGTTGTTGAAAATATTCCAGGAGTATTTTAGGAGTCTACTTTCTCTGAGTGACACAAAACATTCAATGAAAAACGTCAAATTATCGTATCGTTTCCTCATGCAAGTCGTCCACGGTAATATCGAAAAAGTTAAAGGCGCAGTGCTTGGAAAACGCGATGTTAACATCAGAGAATTAGCAGAGCTTCTCAATCTCTCTTATGAATCGACTCAACTATTTAAGTTAATGTTTGGGTATGAAGCCTACTGATGCTGAACTCATATCATATCAACCATTTTACCATGATTGAGGCCAAACACGCAACTAAAGTCTTCGCTCAGCTCCCGTATATGTCATATTTGGCTCATTCAAACCTTTTTTTGTTTTCGCAACTTATTTCCGCTTCGTGGAACGCTCATTGACACCATGCTCGTACACTACATACATATGTAAACAATTAAACCTAATAAATAAAATTTTAAATCAGAGAATAAACATTTGCTTTTTCTTCTTACAGAGTGCTGACGTTTTCGGTCGCAATATTGTCATAATGGTGTGGCAACGCTGTGTCGGCTTCGAACACAATCAAGGCTTGGGCGGCACCGAAGTCAATCTGGATAAAATAAATGCAGCACAACGCATAGGCGGCTGGTATCCACTCTTTCCGATGCATTCATTAGGCGGCTCCGATTCGGATAATTCTCCTTGACCGATCACGCGCACACAAATACGAAGTACACAAACTAATACAATGAACAATAAAAACGACACCACAAATATGAATCAAAATACAATAAATACAAAAAAACGAATTATAAGAATTACAACAAAAACACCAATTAATAAACCAGACTACAATAAGCAAAATACTATTTATATTAATGAATATTATAATAATGTTAATGGAAGTAATGATAATAACAATGGTAATGCCAGTAATTATTGTAGTAATGGTAGTGCCAGTAATGAAATCAGTAATGCTAGTAATGATTACAATAATGTTAATGCAAGTAAATATTATAGTAATGTTAATGCCCGTAATAATTACAGTAATGGTAATGCCAGTAATGATTACAATAATGGTAATGTCAGTAATGATTACAATTATGGTAATGCCAGTAATGATTACAACAGTAGTAATTATAGTAATGATTGCAACAATCGTAATGGAAGTAATGATAACAGTAATGGTAATGCCAGTAATGATTACAATGATGGTAATGCCAATAATGATTACAATAATGGTAATGCCAATAATGATTACAATAATGGGAAAGCAAAAAATGAATATAGTAATGGTAATGTCAGTAATAATTACAATGATGGTAATCACAGCAATGATTATAATAATTTATGTAGCGCAAAGGCTCATTTACAAATTATTAGATTTAAATTGCAAATAATGGCAACTATGAAATTATTACAATTACAACCAACTATTACGGATAAGCAAAACCAATTAAGAATGGTTGTGGAGCGGTTTGTAGAAGTATCAAGGGCTTTTCAAAGGCTTGAAAAGTGAAAACTAAACTGTTTTGGAAAGTATTACTATATATAACAACAACAAAAATGCACATTTTACTAAAAGAGCTTATATGAACATTATTCTTAAGAATCTGTTGCAAACTAAAAACACCATAACCAACACTTACACATACACGAAGGTATGTTTGCATGCATGTATGCTCTTACTATAGACGGCAGAAGTGGTGAGGAAATGCAAGTTACTATTTACAAAGCAATGAATAATTAATTTGAAGGAGAGGGAGAGGAAGTGAATAGAATCAGCTTTTTATATACACACATATACAAGTACTTATATACTGCTAATATAAAGATCGGGTTAGAAATATATATACATATTTTATTTTTGTAATTTTACTTCCGTCGCTAACAACAAAGAAAAGCAAATTTAGTACTACACCTATACATATATAACTAAGTGAATAGTCAGTTATGGTTGCATATGAACGTGTTTGTTGACTAAAGTACAAGTGAAGAAGTTGAAATAAACTATTAAAATATATAGAAAAAATTTCAATAAAAGAAAATCAGGAATGTTGCGTACCTTAGTAGCACGGAAGCACTGAACACTGCAGTACAATTAAACTTAACCGAAACACCAGCGCGTCAGCACCAAAAGAATACGCCTAACACCGCTTGCATTACACACACACATATATACATATATAAGTATATACAAGCAGTATATCAAATATATATATGAACATATTTGCAAATTTGTTGCTATTTAAATGTTATGAAAGAAGTAATCTAATTAAAGTGGTTGGGTGAGCAGAAATTTGTTATCAAAACTTAAGCGTGTTTAGAAGGCAGCGAGGCCTATTTTTAGGCGCACAAGCTGCATTAATACCCCATATACACGTATCCATTTACACTCAAACTACACCTATACACCCACAACTATACATAAATACACACTATTTATTGTTGTTGCAGCATTTTAGTGGCAATCACCATATCAAGAGGGAGTTTGCGGGGGCAAAATTGTTAAATTGCATTGAAATCGTTGTGACAAGTTGTTTCAGAGCTTACCTATGCACACAATTTACAAAGCTACACTTTTAAAAGGAGAATCTGTTGTATTTTAAATAGCAAAAATTATATAAACAATTATACGTAAGAATAAGAAAAATAAATTAAATATTAAGGTGTGATGTTACAAATAATTATAAATCAAGAGAAGAGCAGAAAATTTCTGATTTTATTATTCACTATTATTTTCTCATTATCAAGCATTTCAAATTAGAATAATTTTTTTGAATATTAGAAAACAGTTAACTCAATTTGAGTCGTCAACATAAATTTAAATTAATTTACACTTTTAAGTAAATACTTGTTTTGCAAAATTTAGAAGTTATGTGATGTAAGCATTATTCCAGCGAGCATATTCGAAAAAATTTGGTGGCCTAAGGTACAAGGTGATCCTTTTCGAGGTTTCCTACGTTGTATTAAGGAAAGTTTCTTCTTCTTCTTGATTGGCGTAGACACCGCTTACGCGATTATAGCCGAGTTAACAACAGCGCGCCAGTCGTTTCTTCTTTTCGCTACGTGGCGCCAATTAGATATTCCAAGTGAAGCCAGGTCCTTCTCCACTTGGTCCTTCCAACGGAGTGGAGGTCTTCCTCTTGCTCTGCTTCCCCCGGCGGGTACTGCGTCGAATATTTTCAGAGCTGGAGCGTTTTCGTCCATCCGGACAACATGACCTAGCCAGCGTAGCCGCTGTCTTTTAATTCGCTGAACTTTGTCAATGTCGTCGTATATCTCGTACAGCTCATCGTTCCATCGAATGCGATTAAGGAAAGTTTACATATTATTATTCCAGAGCATACATTTCAGCATGTATTTCTGGAAGATCTCTTTCAAATGTTGACCGCGGCTACGTATGAGATGGTGTTTGAGTTCAATTTCCGAACACTCGTTCGCGCATTTGGACTGGTAACTGACGAATGACACGAATGTTTTGCTCCAAGGCCTGAATCGAAGCGGGATTGTCCGCATAGACTTTAGACCTTACATATTACCATAGGAAAGAGTCTAATTGTATAATATCACACGATTTTAGTGGCCAATCGACTGGCCCAAAACATGACAAAACTGTTGTTTTTTCTGCATGAAATGATAGCTCTTAAATCTCAGCAGGTTGCTCTTCGTCCTAAATATGGCAATTTTCTCTATTTACATACCCATTAAGCCACCCATCATATCTCTTCGAAAAAGATAAAACTAGAAAAATCAGACAAAGATATCTGATGAAACCTGAAGTAGAATTATCGCAGCTTAAGAACTGTTGGGGGTTTGACAATCAAAAATTTTGAAAGACATACTTTACCTTTTCCATTTGGGCACTACAACCGTGGATCAGTCTGGGTCGAGAACACAAAACTTCAACAGTTGATTCCATCAGTTCGAGCTACCAGTGAATGTAGACAGTGCATTCGATGGATTTTTATACGCTTCCAAGGAGCTCGTTCAGTTAGTGATTTCATCTTCTTCGATATTCATCGCTCGCGGAGACGACTTCATAGATCTTGCGAAGAGCGTAATTCACGTCTATGTTTTCGCGACGTACAATAAGAGTAGAAATGAGAGGCTTATAGAACGTATTTGCGAAATCCAATCATGAGCATGTATTCATCCGGCTAAATCATGCTTGACAGCCGGAGCTTTCCAGGTTCTCGGAGCCGCCGGCTCAGCCGGGAATTCATCGGCTCTTCCGTATTTGTTGTTCTAAAGCTGCTGTCTGCTATCAGGTTTCCTTTCCTGTATTTACAGTAAGGTAAAGGTTAGTATGAAATTAAAAAAAAGAAAACTCGATATTTTTTTCATATTTAGTTAGGTTTATTTAGGACAGTAACTCACTGGTCTGCTAATCTCAAAAAAGAAATTTTTTGAGTTTCAGGCGCAGAGAAATCTGAAATCACTCCAGAATTGGAGATTATTTTGTTAGCTCCGTCGGAATCTACACGTAGCTTGAAACATACTTCAGACTATTATAAAACAAAAAACAGTTTTTAATTAGTTGATGTTGGTACCAGCAAATTGAAAAATCTTGTTTTCCTGTTTAGAAACGTGAAAGCTGTATCAAAACTGAAACGTTTGCTTTTTCAGGTTCCTTTAAGAAAATATTGTTTTGACCCAAAATTTCGTAAAAATTTTATCATCTATTTAAGGCATGAACATCATTTGGTTATTCTGGATAGCCATACCATTAGTGTTAACTCAATAATATTAACCCCATTTTTATAAAATATTTTAACTTGCTGGATCACCTTTTTTTTTTTTTTTTTTAGTTTTATAAACTTAAACTTGGTTCGACGATTCACAATATCAAATTTCATATCTGTTAATATAACCATTAGCATAACCGTTAACTTAACCGTTATCGTGTTCTACAATCATATCAAAAAATCGATATCTTGCAATTTAATTCTGATTACCTTGTATACAAAAATATTTAAATATTCGCCCAAAAGCGCAAGTCACTAATACAAAAAATATCTAATAAAATATTTATGTAAATAAAATATCTAAAATAGAAAGCAAATATTCAAATACTAAACTATATTATAATGTTAAGTAAAACCTGATATATATAAAACAAATGTGTATTTTATCTGCAAATCTATTAAATCTGTGCATAAAACCAAAATTGTTGGGAAACCATATTCAAAATTGACAATCTTACTCAATTCTCTCTACTAGACTAAGAAACTCTAAGAAATCTAACGCTATGAAAAGCATTTTCTAACTAAAATCAATTTACGGTTATCTGAAAATCCATAGGATATTTAAATACTGAGGCTGTTTCTTCTATGTTAATATATTTACTTACTATATACTTAAAATGTAAATAATATAATCTACAAAAGTATTAAAATTTAGTCAAAATAACAGTTATAAATTAAGTACAAGAGAAAACGCAACTAATATAGTATAGCAGCAAGTTCATAAAGATATCAATATCTCTAGATTTATCAAGATATGAAATGTCAGACCTTAAAAACATCCACGTATCACATTTTAAGTGATTTCAGATTCAAAATTCTTTCAAATCAATCGTTTAAGAATAAATTAAATCAATTGCCAGCCAAACAAGCCAGACTTAAAGCAGTACTTGTATTCTTTTTATGTTCTCAACTCAGCTAAAGCTTCCTGGTGACTTTCCACACAACCTTCATGAGCTTTGTCGGCTACACACCG